AGTGTTATAATTCGACTGTAGATATCAATTGGCGTTTGCTTACTATTGTAAACATGACACTATAATAAAAAAACTATACCTTAATAATATGTTAAGAATTTCTTTATGAAAATTCTAGAAATAAATATTCAAGTTTTTTATTTTTATTATTAACTTTTAATGTCTTGTTCAATAAAATAAAATCAATACTTAGATGACATAGCAATAATTTTCCAAGATGAAATAGATCAGAACATGAGTAATTTTAGATGTGCAAATACTACAATCACATAACAGAAATGATTCTACTAATCCCTCAAGTTAAATTCCTTATCATGCAGATAACTATCTTTGAATTGACATCAAATTAATATTTAATTCCATCAGTTTCATTTATCATACATACAATATATTTATATATAGTATATAATTATAGGTTGAATCAAAACATGAATATTCCATTCTGGAAAAAATTTCAAACTTTAATATTATGTTTAACTATATGGCACAATCACAAGTCATGTAAATTGAGTGCACCATGGTTGAACTAAAATTACAGAGAAATCTAGGCGTATTGCGACAAAATTTGAGTTGACAATTTGTTTTTGTCTTAAATATTAACCCAAAGATGACGAAATAATTAATTTATGTCTTCGGTTTTAATTTTTTCATCAAAGAATATATGGAGACGAAAGACAAAATTCGCTCTGCAAAAAGGCGCCAATTTCATTTGCATATTGGCACGAATTAGTTTTAGCTCATCTGGAGACAACATTTTTGTCAGCAAAATATAATGTTTTTTTTGTGATGAACGTAATTCGTCGCCAAATTCCATATAGCCTTTAACGATGCTCATGTTTATTTTCCATTATCGGCGACAAGTATATTTTGTGTCTGGGAATGATAGAAGTTATGGAAAGACGAAAATGATTTCAGCTCACTAAAAACTCATCATGTGCAACACAATGTCATTTCACTCTTCTATTTAAGATAGCGCGACAGAATAACTTTTTGCCCTCGGAAGAATAGTTTTGAGAACGAAGAATATCATTGTCACTAATAAATTTCTAATGTGATGCTATGACAAATATAATTTTATCTGATAAGTTTTATGTAGAAGACAAAAGTATTTCATCACCAATAAGTAAATTCTTTGTTCTGGCTATTTAAGGATACAAAAAGTAGTTTACACTAATACGATTTCTCTTTGATTAAAATGCCGTGTTTTGTGGTTTCGAAGCAATTTGAAGACGTGACCCCAAGATAATACACGTATGACGTTTATCATCATGTTCTATGTATAAGGACCCTGAAAGTCATGCCGAAGAAGGGACCCTTTCTACATAACTCTCATTTTCTCTCTTCGCACTGAGTTACTCCATCTCGCACAAGTATTTGAGTCCTGACTCAAAGAAACACTCTGTTAAACAATTTCTCTATTTCTGCGCTAGTAAGTCTCTTCTCTTCTGTCTCACAGCTTAAGCCTTCGTGCATGCCAAGCATTGACAAGCTATTATCCAGAAGGCACCTATGCGAAACGCCACTAAATTTTTTTTTTTCCCCCCACAAGTGAAGGCCCCTCTTGCACGCAAGCAGTTTTTCTATTGATTGTCTAAACCAACCTACCCTTCATCTCAGAAACACCCATTTCAAAAATCGAAGGTCAAACCTCAAAAAAAAAAAAAAAAAAAAAATGATAATTCTGGTAGCTGTTTTTTTTTTTTTTTTGGTCGAGAAAATACAGAGAAAAAAATATAAGAGAAATTTAGTAATTTTTCAGAAATTAATAGAGAAACTACCTTGTTAATATGGAGTTTTCAAAATAATTATTTTAAAATTGGTGATAAAATTTATATTTTAAGTTTTAGAACGTTACCCAACACTGAACCAAAGATATTACTTTTGTGTTTCTTTTTTAATTCTATGCTTCTCAAATATAAAGGAGATGAAAATAGATATTCGGTCAGAAAAAAAAGAAGGCGCCAATTTTTTACTTGTTGGCGCATGTCATTTTTTCTTGTTGGCTGCCAATATTTTTAGCGTCATTGGAGGACGAAACATTTTTGGTCACAAATTAAGTTATTTTGCGACAAAATAGAATTCTCACAATGAAATTCTAAACTTATTTGAGACGCATAGTTTCATTTCTTATTTATTTGGTGACAATATTAATTTGTTTGGGAAGGATAAGTATATGGGAGGCAGAAAATATTTCGTCACCAATAAACTCTCATTGCTACGTTTTATCTTTCTGGTTAATTAGGCGACAATAATATTTTGCCTCGAAGGAATATGTTTTGGGAGACGAAAATATTTCGGTCACTAATAAATTCTAACGTGTGTCGTATGCATTTTGATTGGATTGCAGCGACGAAATATATTTTCTGTTCATAAGAATTAAATTGAAAGGAGACGAAGAATATTTCATCATCAATAAATTCTCCATCCGCATAACGTTGTTTTTGTATTTTTGTTGATTAGGCAACGAACACATGAGTTTGAGACGAAAATATTTTATCACTAATTATTTTTCTTTATTAAAATGTCGTCAGAAACTAAGAGATACTCTCACCTTAATCACTTACTTTCACACACACACACAAATACTAAGTCATGACCGAAAAGGCACCCTCTACAAACCTTGTTCTCTCTCGCACTTGAGTCTCCTCTCTCATAAGTATTGAAGCTGTGACTCGAGAAAACATCTCTATAAACCATCTCTTCTATTTGCACTGAAGCTCCTCTATTCTCTCTCACATTTAAGCCGTTTGTGCATGCAAACATTATTATCAAGAAGACATTTTCTTGCAAAGCTACTATTCTTTCTCACAAAAACCTCTCCACACAAAAGAAAATAATATAATAATATAATTAAACAGGAAACAAAATACAAAAAATCTAGGCTATTGTGACAAAATTTTGGTGACGAAAATTTTTTTTTTCTCTTAAAATTAACCCAAGATGACAAATTTTAATTTTGTCGTTTTTATTTTTCTCAAACGTAATAGGAGACAAAAAAAAATTTGGTCTGCAAAATTCAGGGTGCCAATTTCATTTGCATTGGCATGAAATTAATTTTGAACTCATTAGAGACGAACATTTTCGTCACAAATAAACACTCCATCATGCAAATGATGCCGTTTCATCTTTCTATTAAATGGGCGAAAAATATATTTTTTTCTTGGAAGAATAAGTTGTGGGAGATGAAATATTTCGTTACTATAAATTCTGATTGATTGCGCGCGGATATATTTTCCTCTCATAAGGTTATGTTGTGGAAGATAAAAATATTTTGTCACCAATAATAAATTCTCTGTTCTTGTATTTAAGGAGAACAATAATATTTTTATCACTAATTATTTCTCTGTTATTAATATGCTATGGTTTGTGTTTCGGAGCATTGAAACCGTGACCTCAAGACACACACTTTGACCCTTATTACTTATTTTTATATGCACGGACACTCAAGTCGTGACCCAAGAAGACACTTCCTACAAATCCTAATTTCTCTCTCGCACTTGAGCCTATCTCTCTCACAAGTATTGGAGTCGTGAAGCAGAGACACTCTGCAAACCATTTTCTTCTAATTCGCACTAAAGGCCCCTCTCATATATCTCACACTTAAGCCCTTCATGCATGCCAGTATTGAAGCTATCATCCAGAAGACACCCTATGCAAAACGCGACTATTCTTTCTCATAGTGAGGCGCCTTTTGCATAAGCACTTTTTCTTTTTGTCTGAACAACTCTATCCTTTCTGTCTAGGAACACCCATTTTGAAAAATCGCAGTCAAAACCCTCTCCACGAACAAAATAAAAAAAAGAAGAAGAAGATAATTAATGTAACTATTTTTTGTGAGAAAAAACAACAGAGGAAAATTTAATAATAATTTTTAATTTTCAAAATTAATAAAACATTACCTTGTTTAGTATGAAGTTTTCATAATTAATTTGTAATTTTTATCAATATTTTTTTAGTGAACATTTTTTAATATTAATATTTTTTTTCTTTTTTTACTTTTTAATTCTTTAATTTAGATAAGGAAAAATTGCAGCAGTTGTCCCGATCTTTAGGTCCTTTGTCATATAAATGGTATGTGCCATATCTATATCTATCTATCTCTCAATTTATCTATATCTATATCTATCAATCTATCCATCTATCTATCTATATTTATATTATTATATAAGGAAAATGAGGGTTTTAACTTACAAGCCATTGTGGAGCTCCAATATCCAATCTTATTTTTCTAAATTTTTATTTAAAAAAAAAACTTCAAATTTATTGACTTCTTCAACCACCCTTGACTTCTGCCCATATCTACTCCTACACCCTTTTCAACTTTTTCCCATACACTATGGCTAGTGATGAGATTGTTAATTATTTTTATAAAAAAATCTTAAAAAAAAAAATTTGTATATTTAAAAAAATATCTAAAACGAACACAAATTCTCATTAAATATTACCCTACTTCTACAAAAAAAATAAATAATAATTTTTTTTTCAATTAAAATAAAAAAAACAATAAATTTTCAACCTTAGTAACTAAAAAAATTGAAAAAACAAAAGAAAAAATTGCATTAACTACAAAAATATATATATATATTAACAAAAAAATAAATAAAATCCATTGTGTGATCAAATATATATCTCAGAATAGTCAAAATCCCTAATCCTCCTTCATTTTCAACATTCAAATATCTCTCTCTCCTCTCTCTCTCTCTCTCCATATCTCCATCTCATCTCCATCTCCATCTCCATCTTCGTGCTACTCATCTCACTCTCATTCCGACTCCTCCAACCGACAAGAGCTCGAATCTGCAGAGCATCATGTCGAAGCACACTATAATATAGGAACAGTGGATTCTAGAGACTCGAATTTGCTGAGCAAGTTGTTTCCCTCGTAAACACCTATCATTCGGTATGTATTCTCTTCTCTCTCTCTCTCTCCTCCTCTCTCTCTCTCTCTCACCACACCACACACACACACACACATCACAACACGCACCAAATCTCTCTCTCACACTTTATTTATTTATATTTTATTTTTTTATCTTCAAGGCTTGAATCTCATGCTCTAGGTTGATGACCCTATGTGATCTCCAAATTCGCTCTTAATCTCCAAATTCGACTCCGTCAAGTAAAAGCTCTCTCCTTTGTTTCATGGTTTATATATGTGTTTGCTTAATTTGCTCTTTGAATTTCTTCTTTTCACCTTCATTTTTGTTCTACATGAAAATTTTTAATTTGAATATTATACAGTTTAAAATCACTATAATACTGAACATATGAATGTAAAATACTGTATTTTGGTGTCAATCGCCACTGCTGTGTCTTGATGAACCCTTCTTTCCCAAGAAGAGAACCCGAATCTTTTGAAGTTATTATACATGCAAATCAGAGTATTTAAGTAAAATAAAAAAAATTTAATAACGTGGAATAGTATTAGTACAATTTGAATCTTGGTTTAAACTTGCATAATTTTACTGGGTTTATAATTTTTTAAAAGAAAAAGAAGAAAAGGGAATAGCTTTTGCTGGGTTTTTTAGGGTTTTATTTTTTTGGGTCATGCTCACAAGCTGCAAAGCTGTAACCAACACAGAAAAGGAAAGGAAATCTTTTTTTTTTTTGTGGGTTTATTAATTAGGTTATTTATTGTTTACATCGTGAAGTTCGGGACAATTAATGAGAGAACAAGGCAGAAAGATTGTAGAAATCTTGATTTAAGATTATATACATCTTTGCTTCAGATTCTTGTAGTTGTTGTTTATTATATATTGAATATCTCATGGATGTGTTTAACAGGAATTAGTATTTGAGAAAACCACAATTGCTTTCTTGAAACTGGGAATTTCTGTTTAAGCTTCAAAAGTTGTAGATTTTTGCCTAGTGCATGACTTGTGAAACCATTGTGATTGGTTTTCTCATTCTGTTTGCAGTGGAGTCTCTAAGAAATCAAGTGGCAGTGCCAGACTTGTAATGACGACTATTATGGGAATGGTCTTCGGATATTTTATTGGAGTTTCATTCGCATCTGTTTCTCTTACTAAGGTATGTTGGCAAATTCTATGAAAAAACCTGTGTTGCACAAGACACCTATCATCTATTTGATTCGTTGTGAAATCTCGTAGATTAACTTACCTTCAAGCATTATATCATAATAGAGCCTGATACTATAATGTTAGTGGTTTGTGAGTCTGTGACTTCTATCAACCTATAAGCATTGCTAGAGTTCTCAAGGATGGATGTCCAACAGTTATTGAAAGTTGAAAGATTATCTCATTGTTGTTTGGATTCGGTCTCATGACTCTTTTTCACACATTTTTATGTTATATATCATTTGCTAGCTGTAGGATTTAAGATCTTTTTTCTCTGCTTCATATATTTTTAAACATTTGGCTGGAAGTGATTGTTTCTTCATTTCTAGTATTTTTTTTTTTCTTGATTGAAGATTCCGAGAAAGGTTGAGAAAACTAAAGAAAGGTGGAAATTCCACTTCCAAGAATTTTAAAATGAAATACTCGTTAGAAGCTTAGGTTTAAAAGAGCTTGTTAATCATGTTTGTTAAGGAAAATAGGTTTTTCCATAGAATTTGGATATTTAAGGTTAGAGTTTGTTTGTATAAAATGCTTATAAATATTTTGTAGGAGTATGGTGTTTTAAAATTTTAATTAAGGCTGTGTATGAAGAAAATTCAAATATGATTATGTTTTATGAATTGTGATAAATTGCTAGTTGAATGAAAGAAGGGCATTTAGAACACGCATGTGCTTGTAGGAACTAAACTGATAGTAAGCAAGAGGGCCATGTTCGATTTATTGACTCCTTCAACCTGGCAGCATTCATGAGTTGCTTGTTCAAGTGCCCCTAGGAGACACGGTCGAGATGTACCATGTATAGGAAAAATCCCATCACATTTGCTATGTATCCATAATGCTGTTTTGTGGTGAATTTTAAATTAAAATTGTGCAGAGATACTTTACTTAGAAATTTTATAGGTTAGTAGGATGCAGATTGGTATAGAATGTGATTTTGGTAGAACTATACATTGAAATGAGATACTTGTTAATATTGAAATGATATGGCAAGTCGTTTACCTCCTCATTAACTGTGTTCTCAATTACTTATACTTGACATGTAATTAGAATGGTATGACATAAGACAGTTATAAGGGGAAATGTGTTTTATTTTTATTTTTATTTTAGTAGTGATGATAGATATCTCTTTTTGCATCATACTTTTGGAAAGTATTATAGCATTAACTGCCATTTGGAATCGCTTTCTATTGGTTGCATTAGCAATTCCAAAATTAAAGAAAAAACATATTTCAGATCAGATAAAGGGTATTTTAGTAAATCTATTATTCAGATATGCTTATTAATATTATATACGAAAACTGATTTGTGAAAAAGGATGTGACATATGTTCTATACTGTCTCCTAGGTGCACTTACAGTCTTTTGGTTGGTTTGCAGTCCAATTTTAGTAGTGAAGTAATCTCGCACTATATTTTGAGAGTGGAGGTCTGAGGTTCTTGAACTAATAAGCACTTTACAACAGCTAAAATCATTCTAGGTTTGGGGAAAACAGATCAGTGATGGAAATTTTGCCTTACTTCGGGCATACATGGAAAGACTTAGGCATAAGAGGAGAGGTTGCCGTATGTTCTCTCCTGAAATAGAGAGAGATGTTGTATATCACATGAAGAAGGTTTTGTATATTGGTGGTAATACTGGAGGATAGAGAAATTGCATGTTGTCAATGCTCTTAGCTGTGGACCTCAGCTTTTCGGTGTTTAAAACTTAAATAATGAGCTGTTCTTATAAAATACAAAACAAAAACTTGTTTTGGAATCTCAAACAACAAAAGAACTTGTTTTTATAGCAACTCAAACAATAAAAGAACTTGTTTTAACGGTCTTCTTCTTATTATTATTATTATTGTTCTTTCATCTATATGATAGTATTAGTATTAGTATTATTATTATTATTATTATTATTATTATTATTTCATGCATAGGGTAATTTGTTATTAGTTGCTTTCTTACTAGAGAATAACAATGCAATTGTAGGATTATGCCATGGAGTTAGATGAGACACACATACAAAATGCAGCACACTTGATGGTTGCCAGTTTAGCTGGAAGTTTAGCTCATGTAACATGCAAGGTTTCATACTGGAGATCTCTTTTGATGTTCTATTGTCCTGTTTTGTTATTTGAAAATATAGCATTCCTATCTGATTAGAATCTTATGTTTGTCTGCCTTTGTTACCTGTTGTTTGACAATGATTGTGTGATTACTGATAGGAACCCTTACGTGGCTCAATATCAAGTCAGCTTAGGAATTCACTTCAGGGTTTAAATATTGCAAGTGAATTTGAACAAGCTGTGTAACTTTTTACTAATGATAACCTTGATCTGGGTTGTGCATTGATTGAACAAGCTACAACAGAAAATGTTAGATTGCTTTTTATTTTCTTCCACAAGAATGCATTTATGCATATATTTATTTATCTATCCATTAATGCATATGTTCACTTCAGTGCTTTTGATTCACATTATGTTAAATTGATAATGCATGCAATAACAGGTAACTGTTTTCACTTCTAATATCTGGAAAAGCTGTTTTAGAATTTGTTTAGAAAACCGAAGAATACTTTGTTGTTGGATAAGGCTCTGAAATGGCACTACATGTTTCTTCCTCAAATGAAGCTTGCTACACAGGTGAAAATATGGCTTAACAAGTGGGGATTGAGAGGGACAGTTGATCAATCATCCCTAGAAACTTAAAATTCAAGGTGTTAACACCGAAAAATCACCAAACGGTGTCGGAATTGCACGAAACTTGGCACACACGACCGTCTAGGCACGAGAGACTTGTGGGAGAAGACGGGACTCGAATCGGGTTATCGGTTTGGGAGTTAAAGTCAGATTTCACGCTAGGCAAACTAGTTCCTTAAAAAACTTAGAATTCGAGATGTTGACACCCCAAAATCACCAAACGACGTCAGAGTAGCACGAAACTTGGCACACATGACCACCTAGGCACGAGAGACTTGTAGGAGAAGTCGGGACTTGAATCGGGTTCCTGGTTTGAGAGTTAGAGCCAGATTTCACGCTAGGCAAACTAGTTCCTTAAAAAACTTAGAATTCGAGGTGTTGACGTCCCAAAATCACCAAACGGCGTCGGATTAGCACGAAACCAAGAACACACGACCGCCTAGGCACGAGAGACTTATGGGAGAAGACAAGACTCGAATCGGGTTCCCAGTTTGGGAGTTAGAGCTGGATTTCACTCTAGGCAAATTAATTCTTTAAGAAACTTAGAATTTGAGGTGTTGACGCCCCAAAATCACCAAACGTTGTCGGATTAGCACGAAACTTGGCACACACGACCGTCTAGGCACGAGAGACTTGTGGGAGAAGACAGGACTCGAATCGAGTTCCCGGTTTGGGAGTTAGAGCCGGATTTCATTCTAGACAAAGGCTTATTTTGGGAAATATGGTAAAATGTGGTTTTTTGGCTTTTAACCAAGTTTTTGGCTTTTTCAGACAAATGATTTAAGAAGTTGGTAAAAAGTGACTTTTGGCTTTTTTGATTAATATTTATTTATGATGTCAAATCATAATAAATTGACCAAATTACCCCCATTTAGTTTAAAATATTTACAACTTCACCCATGTAACACATTTTGACCCATGAGGGGTAAAATTGTAATTTCACCATTGGCTAAAAACCAACTTCCCAAATGAAAAAAAAATTCAAAAAAGCCAACTTTTGGCTTTTGCTACAAACCAAAAAAAGTGGCTAAAAGCCAACTTCCCAAAACAAGCCAAACTAGTTTTGAGGACCAAAGGGTAGGAAGAAGCAAGGGGAGATAATGGCTGATGTTGTCAACTTTTTGAGGACCAAAGGATTCACTGGACACTTTGGTAGTGGAGGGGACTCATCCACAAGTGGACATACTTCTTGATAAAGTATATTAACTTTAATATAACAAATTTTATAAAAGAATATATGTTGGAAGAATTAGAAAGTAATGGAAACATACATAGGATATTCAATTTGTACAGGTGGACGGGATGTATAAATTGTGAATTAGTCTAAAAAATATTTCTTTTTCTCTATACTTAAAGCTTCAAAAAAGGCCGTCGAAAGGTTAAATTATCAGACAATCATAGATTTGTTGAGGAACCAACATAAACACTTTAGGAGGGACCAATATAAGTTGTATGAACTTACGGCACATTAATGGGATGCACCATTTGTGAAGTAGCCTTAAAATTAATTTTTTGTTCTCATAATCACGAAAAAAAGTCTGTTAGAGGGATAAATTATATAATTGATCTAATTGTAAATTGATGAGTTACTAATATTTTTAATCTTTTGTATAATTAATTAATTACAAAAGCTTTTAATTTATTGTTTTGCAGATTGGATTGGGGTGGCATTTTTGACGTGCAACAATGATGTAATTTGCTTGAATGTTCATTTTGTTTAATAAGGATACACATACTTTGTGGAGTTGCACTAGTTATTGTTGGATGTTTGGTGGAATTGTACAAGTTATAACTTTTGGATATTTTGTGGATACTGCACTATTTTATTATATTAGTATGAAATTATTTGTAATGATGAATGGATATTTTCATTTTGTTAATTCGTAAATATGTTGATGACAGATTAGGTTAAGTTGTGAATGGAATTGTTATATTCAACATGTTTCAACATGAACAGGGTTATATTTGTTGAACTAAAATTCAGGTTTTGATAAAATAGGTATATAATGTGGAAAAAAATATTATGGAATTAGTGACAAAATTTTCCATCCATAAAGAAAAATTTTTGGTCTCTTATTTGGCTTAGATGGAAGATTAATTTTGTTATGAATTCTTTATTTCGTCGCTAAATGAATATTGTCATGACAAAAAATATTGTCACATTTTGTCACTATTACCGTCAATGTGTGACGATTTTTTTTGACATTATTTCATCATTTTTAATGATGAATTTGTTTTTATTTCTATTGGTAGCTTCTTTGACAAAAAAATTTCATCCTCGTTTATATTAAACGTGACAAAATTATTTCGTCCCTATTTCTTATATTTATGATAAAATACTTTCGTCTCTAATTTCTTTCTTTAATGACAATATTTTGTCGCTAATTACTTACAAGTATGTTCCCAACAAAGTGTACTGGAGACAAAAAAGTTCGTCACAAATTTATCATTTTTAATGATGAATTTGTTTTTGTCTCTATTGGTAGCTTCTTTGATAAAAAATTTTCGTCTTCGTTTATATTAAACATGACAAAATTATTTTGTCCCTATTTCTTATATTTATGATAAAATATTTTCGTCTCTAATTTCTTTCTTTAATGACAATATTTTGTCGCTAATTACTTACAAGTATGTTCCCAACAGAGTGTATTGGAGACAAAAAAATTCGTCACAAATTTATCATTTTCAATGACAAATTTGTTTTCTTGTGTCTAAGACCCTTTAGCGACAACGCTTTGGCGACAAAACAGGTGACGAAAAATTTTCGTCGTAATTAGTTTGAGTGACGAAATATATACATTTTGAGGCAAATTTGTTTCGTCTTTAAATCTCATATTTGTTGTCAATTTTATATTCAAAAGTATGATGGCCTGCAAGTTCCAAAACCTCCTTGACAGAAGAAAATAAACAAAGGGCTAAAAGTAGAGACATGGTGTGCTCAGACTAATCAAAATATTAGGAAGCGCAAACCAAAATAATATATTATAGCCAACAAAACAAATCGAACACATGAAGAAAATTATCATGTCGAAATCGTAACGGAACATGGGCCCAACAAGTGTATAAAACAGAATGCAATAAGATTTGGTCTCCATAACATAAAATAACGCTAAACAACAAGGACAGAAGGCGACTCTGATACCAATGGTGAGAATTAAAATAATTTTAATTCAGAAAGAAGAATACCTCCTGCCATGATGTTCAAGCCTTTGATTCTTTATCCTTTACGATCAAATCTTGAATGTATAAACAAAACCCACTCACAGAACACTTTTATAGAACCATATGGGAAAAGTAAAAGGAACAGAATTTCAAGCCTATTCTATTCACAAAACAACGTCTGTGTTTGATGGCTATCGCAGGCATATATATAGATAGGCTTGGACCCATATCCAAGTGTAACTCCTTATAACTTCCCACCATCAGGGAAGTTGTAAGGTCCCATGAAACCACCATATGGGATAGTGAACAGACGTTAATTATCCATTGACCATTAAACTAATTAAATATATATATAATAAATAAATAGAACAAACATGTGGCATATGGGCCACTTTATGGATATTCTTACAATTATGTCAAACATTTTTTTCAAACTTCATGGAGGTGAGTGTAATTTACCCCAAAAAAAGTTTTGTGATCAAAATTTAAACAAACCTGGCTTAAAATAAATCTTATTCACATTTTATTGAATAAGTTTGAAGCACAAATCAATCATACGGCTAAGCATAAAAATCATAGTAAACCATTCCGGTCTAGACCAAATCGCATAGCTTAGTTTGGTTTTCTCAATATATGGTTCAGTTTTGGTTTTCAAATAAGTAAACCGTACTTCACAGATCGATCTGTAATTTAATAGTTATGAATCCAGTTGGCATCAAACCAGACCGTTTAGATTATATATATAATTTGTTACTGAATGTAAATACTAAAATATTTTATTAGTATCAAATATATATAAAAATTATAACTTTCTACTATTGTAAGTATATTTTTGTATAGTGATAGAACTAATTTTAAATAATCATGTAAACAATTCTTAGATTGTAAATAATATTTTGTGATTATATTGCGAATAATTATAATATTTTTAAAATCTGTATTTCCAAACTTAACCGAACCATGGTTTAGTGATTTGGTTCGGATTGATTCCAAAATTTTCATAGAATAGTTTGGTTCCCAATTTAATAGAACTGTAAATAATGGATTGGTCTTGGTTTACGGATAAACCAAACCATACTCACCCCTAATCAATCATAGTATATGAATGAATAAGATTTTTGTGCAAGCATTTTAATTATTGGGTAGGCAATGAGGAGTTTAAATACAAAATCTATTTCTTACTATGATATTATATTAAATTATGAACTACCAACTCATCTAAAAATTTAAGCTGTTGGAGAGAGATGAATAACTTTATTATTTATATTATATGCTCAACACACATATATATTTTATGTCTAATTCTATGATTAATTTTTTTTGCTCTTTGCAAAACTGTATTTTTTTAAGGGTCTTGCTAATAATTGCCCTTAGGATTTTGTCAATAAACACCACAAAATACCAAAATATTTATAACCTCAATACATTTTTTTATCTATCTCAAAATATTTTTACACATTTTAATACACTATTTACATATATTTTTCAATACTAATGGCAACTTTAAAGACTGTTTTTCACAATTTTCTATTTGTTTTTTGTTTTTTGTTTTTTATTTTTTTGTTTTTTAAGTGTGTTTGTAACACTGCTCTACATATTTACTCCTCCAAGTTGCAAAAGCTCAATTCTACAACAGCCAAGCTTACAGATGCCTTCCCTTTCACACATAATTGAATAACGCTATAAAGGGTTTATTTTATTTTTTACTCTGAATCTACTGTCAAATTGTTTATTTAATCTCTAAATTATTAATTGAGATAATGAGTGTTTAAAATATATATAAAGAATCTGTTTAGTTTCTAAAAAATTTATTGAATCTTTAAAATATTTAATTCAAGTCTATTTAATTCCTTAAAATATTACAAAAATAAAATATAAACCGGTAACTATTATAAATTAGTAAAACACCGTACCTAATTAAGATTTTATTCTAGAAAAAACTTAAATTTCTATTCTATCTTTAAAAAGTGGGCGTCCATTCTTTTAGTGAATTTTCTTTATAACTGTAAGGGTAATTATTTAGAGCAAATTACACTAACGGTCTATAGTTTGAGATTTGTGTTATTTTGATTTCAGACTTTTCAATTGTGACACATTTGACCTTAAATTTTGAATCATATTCCAAATAAGGACAATTTGAATATATTATTGCTTAATTTCAAGGGCAAAATTATCCATTTGATAAAATATAAACTAATTTGATAAAAATAAATGTCAAAAAAATATTTTTGAAATTTTAAAAATTATTTCTACACACTAAAGATAAAATTATGTAAAATTAATATATCTTTTAGACATTTATTTATTTATTTATTTGTTTTACCAAATTAATTTTCATTATGTGTTTGGATGAGGATCATGTAATGGGTGATTGTTTTTATTTTCATTAAATTAGTTTCTATTTTTCTAAAAGTCAAATGTGGCGACAACTTTGATATCATTATTAAATCAATCTATTAAATTAAAAAAATCCAAAACTAAAAATATTTTATATATTAAATATATCGATTATACATTAAAATTCTAACAACCACCCATTACATAATCATCATCCAAACACTTAATAAAAATTAATTTGGCATAATAAATAAATAAATAAATGTTTAAAAGATTTATTAATTTTACATAATTTTATCTTTTGTGGGTATAAATAATTTTTAAAATTAAAAATTTTTTTTTTGGATATTTTCTTATCAAATTAGTTTATTTTTTTATCAAATTGACGATTTTTCCCTTGAACCTAAGCAATAATATTTTCAATTGTCCTTATTAAGAATAAGATTCAAAATTTAGAGTCAAATGTGTCACAATTGAAAAGTCAGGGATCAAAGTGACACGACTCCAAAACTATAGGGACTATTAGTGTAATTCGCCCAATTATTTATAATATTTTGTGCTTATCTTCTACATTAGTTGCTTGCTTTTTTTTTTTTTTTTGGGATTGGCAAAAAAAAATATATTGATGCATCAAAATAGTTACTTAGTTGGCTTTATTTAGTATTATATACTGAATTTCGTTTATAAATGGTAATTGATTGTTTTTAAATTTTTTATTAAGTTTTTTTAATAACTTAATTAATGTATTATTTTGTTCTATTATTATTTTTAGTTAAGTACTATTATTTAAATTATTTGATTCTACTTGTTCAGCGTATCAAATATTCATATAATTTTATTGGCAAAACTAAGAAATCAAGTTCTGATACCAATTTAAAGACACAGCGAAACAAAATACCTTTTGAAGATAATAAAAAAAAATTAAGATTTTTTGAAAATAAATTCTTAACTAAATAGGATCTTTGCTAATTTATAATAGTTATGAAAATCAAATGTACAGAATACAAAGATGAACATCAATAAAAGGAGGCGAGTGCCAAAGCATCAAAGCAAACTAGACGATTCCAACTAGGTTGGGACCATAAAGCAAGCCAATCATCTACTAGCACTACACAATGGCTAGCGTAAAGAAGATTTGAGATCTTATTTCCCTGCATTTTTTACAGATGAATGTAGAGTATTTATATAATAATTACTCAAGACTAACCATGATGAGTTAACTCTAACTAATCTACTAACTCTAACTCTAACTAACTAACTGCTGAACTAATTTTGTTACAACAATATCTAGCAAATATTATAA